CGCTTGAACCATCTAAGGTACGCTGATGACATCGTATTGATAACCGATAAAAAAGATGAATTATTTGAAATGATGAAAGAACTGGACGTAGAAGCTGGAAAGATAGGCCTTAATATGAATTACAGCAAGACCAAAACTATAACAAATACAGATGAAGACATCACAATGAGAATCGGACAAGATGAAATAGAACAAGTTAAGGATTATATATATCTTGGTCAAACTATAAAACTTAACAAAGAGAACCAAACAGCAGAGATCAAGAGACGAGTTAGACTGGCATGGGCGGCATTTGGCAAACTAAGCTACATTCTTAAAAACAAAAGATATCCACAGCATCTTAAGACCAAAGTATATAATCAATGCGTACTCCCTGTTCTTACGTATGGCTCGCAAACGTGGACATTTACAAAAGCAAACATGGACAAAATCATAAAAACCCAAAGAGCAATGGAAAGACAAATGTTGCACATAAGACTAATGGATAAGAAGAGAAACGAGTGGATAAGAGAGAAAACAAAAGTGAGGGATGTTAGACAAGAAGTTGCAAAATTGAAATGGAGATTTGCCGGACACAATATAAGACAAAAAGAAAACCGATGGAACAAAATTCTTATAAGTTGGAGACCGTGGGAATATAAACGAAGCAGAGGAAGGCCCCAAATGAGATGGGCAGATGATATCAAGAAGCACGTGGACTCTAGATGGATGACTGTTGCGACAGACAGAGAAGAATGGAAAAGGATTGGGGAGGCCTATGTCCAAAGATGGACCGAAGAAGGCTAATTAGATAGATAGATAGATTCTCACAATAATGCCGCGAAATATTGACACACGACGTATAGGATCTACTTGCATAATTATCGGAACTTAGCAGCCAATGCGGCGAATAAAATTGTAACAACAGTTACGGTGTAGTTTCTGAAATATGAGAATTATTTTGATACAAAATTCCACGAGGAAACTAAGTTCCTGTAGCTGGCTGTATACCATATATCACAAAAAAATTTTGTTAAAATCCTTTATAAAAGGTATATAAAAATGCCTTAAACGGGCTATCACAAACACATTGCAAAACGTTTTCGGATTAAACAATCCATCATCAGTGCAAACGGTTGTACATGCTAGTAGCCACCAAAATATATGGGTAAAAACCCTTTAAATGTTATAAATTTGAAATTGTTTTGAAAACGTTTTGCAATGTGTTTGTGATAGCCCGTTTGAGGCATTTTTATATACGTTTTATAAAGGATTTTAACAAATTTTTTTTTTATTTTGATACACTTTGGTATGATACAGTATTTTTCGACGAAACTTTCATTTGGTTCAACGCCCTATCTGTAGTTACTCTGTATTCTACAAATAATTCAATTTTTTTATATTTACGGTATTATTCCATTCGGAATTTTTCTTACTAATGCAGTTACAGCCACATCGATTAGGCAGATAGAGCGTAAAAAGTTATCCAAGAAGAACAATGTAACTCAAAATCGCCAAAAAATGTTAGTTACAACGTTATTCTATGCAGGGGTCGATAGTATTTAGTGGAAGAGTTTCTTAACAAATAACTGAGAATTTGCAGTACGTTTAGATACAAGCAACTAAAGTATTTATATATATATATATATATATATATATATATAATATATATATATATATATATATATATATTTGGGTATCATATGCAGCAACTCAAACTTCTTAGTTCGTAAGATTTTGTTATGTAATTTGCAATTTAGTTAAATTTATAAATATATTTTATTATCTTGCATTTTGTGATATTAACGATTTTTGTAATTTTGATAAATTATAAATTTTTATTATCATTGTTTTGACTTTTAGTAAGCTTTGTACTTAAAACTATACAGTTTTCAGTGACAATAAAGCATATTTCTATTTAATTCTATTCTAATTTTGTATAACTTTAAGTGGGTGCCCTAATTTACCATAAAGATTTAATTAATTTTACCTCCACTTTAAGATTTTTTCTTTTTATTACTAGTTCAATAAACCAGAAAATAATTGAAATCGTAGGCTTCCACGGCCAGAGTCAGAATTATAGTTTATTCGTCTTCCGGGTTTGGATTGTGTCATTTGTGAGTGACCCAAAAGTGGGTTCATCTCGACGTTTCGCTACAATTGTATGTAGCTTCTTCAAGAGAACAAAGAAAAGGAAATCAAAAGACAGGAAGATGGGTAGTTAGCAACGGTAACTCAGTTACTCAACGCAATCAGAGGCGAATACTAACTCCCAAGATGGGCATTTGGTCACAGTAACTCAACTACTTAACGCAGCCAGAGGTGAAAACCAAATGCCAGGACAGGGATTCACGTCCAACAGCTCAGAACACTAACACGTCGAGAGGCGGGGAGTGAATCCGACGATTGCTCCGCTACCGCTCTATTTATAGTCGCGGTGACCTGTCGTGTCGGGACGTATCGGCACACTCCGTGGCGCGAACGTCAAGAAGCGCGCGCTGGCCAATCATGTGGATGCATCGTGGTAGCGGGACCGGACGGCGGCTCTAGACTCTAGAGGGGAGGCAATTCTTTTAGACTTTGAGGGTATACAAGGCAACTATCGAACACGGTGATTAATTTAATCTTGCCCAAGTATTTTCAATCAATAGATCATCTTCAGGGGCATCTGAAATAAGCCAAGAAACGTTTTTTATAAAAAGGAAAATTAATTCACTTGGATAAAAAACTCCAAGTTTATGGTTGAAAAAAATTTTTATATGTGATAAACGTTTATAGACTTACTTCGTCAATTGTGGCCTATCCGACATAGTAGAATGTCATTAATGTACAATTTGGACATAACAATACAAAATACAATACACTAAGACAAACAAACACTTTAAAATTTATATGGAGAAGCTACATATTGTATAGAAGCCGGAGACAGAATGGGCTCCCGGTCCAGTGTTCCCAAACGTAAAAAAATAAAATCGGTAGAATTCTTTTAAAAAATCGGTACATTAATGTACATATACATTCTACTATGTCGGATAGGCCACAATTGACGAAGTAAGTCTATAAACGTTTATCACATATAAAAATTTTTTTCAACCATAAACTTGGAGTTTTTTATCCAAGTGAATTAATTTTCCTTTTTATAAAAAACGTTTCTTGGCTTATTTCAGATGCCCCTGAAGATGATCTATTGATTGAAAGTACTTGGGCAAGATTAAATTAATCACCGTGTTCGATAGTTGCCTTGTATACCCTCAAAGTTTAATTATTCGAACATTCAACCTTATATTGATTTATTGAATTCTTTTAGAGGCAATTTCTATAAACAAATATCTGGAACAGCAATGGGTTCTTCCCTTTCCTCTATCATTGCTGACATTTTCATGGAAGCCTTTGAGTCTTTAGCCCTAGAATCTTACTTCTTAAAACCAAAAATCTGGTTCCGCTACGTTGATGATACATTTATCATCTGGCCCCATGATCAACATACCCTTTCTTCCTTCCTAGATCATCTTAACTCACAACATCCGAGTATAAAATTCACAATGGAAGTAGAAAATAATCGGTCCCTTCCCTTTCTCGATGTGTTAGTCACCTCCAAGCCCAGTGGCCGATTGGGTCACTCTGTTTATAGAAAAAGACTCACACGAATCGTTACCTACATGCTTCATCACACCACCATCCTGCCCAAAAGAATTCTGTGATCAACTCTCTCATCCATCGGGCCATTTTGATTTCTGAACCTGACAACCTTAGAGAAGAACTTGGCCATTTGCAAAAAACCCTTGTCGCCAACGGTTACTCCAAGTCCACAATTTAAAATATTACACACCGACATCTACATCCCCCTTTACACCCTAGGACGACAAATTCAGAATCTTCGGGTAATACTCCTGTGGCTTTTCTTCCGTATATTCGAAGTGTCACTGATAGGATTGGCAAAATTCTTCGCAAAGAAGGTATCAGGACTACTTTTCGACCACCCAAGAAAATTTCACAATATCTACCCTCTCCTAAGGACCCATTACCGCCCCTATCTTTCTGTGGTGTCTATTCTATTCCTTGTTCATGTGGACATGTGTATATTGGCGAAACTGGTCGTTCCGTCAAAACTCGGATTCAAGAACATCAAAGATGCATTCAATCAGGTCTTTTCTCCCATTCTGCAGTTGCAGAACACTGCCAAGAAACCGGTCATTCCATATTGTTCGAAAAAACCCATATTATTTCTAAGAGCCCCTTCTTTTATTCCAGGAAAATCCGCGAATCTTTAGAGATCCGAAAAAATCCACATAATATCAATCGAGAGGAAGAATACTACTTGTCTCCCATCTGGAATCTCAGTCTAGAGCCGCCGTCCGGTCCCGCTACCACGATGCAGCCACATGATTGGCCAGCGCGCGCTTCTTGACGTTCGCGCCACGGAGTGTGCCGATACGTCCCGACACGACAGGTCACCGCGACTATAAATAGAGCGGTAGCGGAGTTATCGTCGGATTCACTCCCCGCCTCTCGACGCGTTAATGTTCTGAGCTGTTGGACGTGAATCCCTGTCCTGGCATTTGGTTTTCACCTCTGGCTGCGTTAAGTAGTTGAGTTACTGTGACCAAATGCCCATCTTGGTAGTTAGTATTTGCCTCTGGTTGCGTTGAGTAACTGAGTTACCGTTGCTAACTACCCATCTTCCTGTCTTTTGATTTCCTTTTCTTTGTTCTCCTGAAGAAGCTACATACAATTGTAGCGAAACGTCGAGATGAACCCACTTTTGGGTCACTCACAAATGACACGGTCCAAACCCGGAAGACGAATAAACTATAATTCAGAAAATAATTTCTTAATCATAATGTTTGTATTCTCCTATAGTTGACACAATTTTTACTATGGAATTGCTTAACCAATTAAGATATTAACCATCATTATCGAATAATATAATCTTATGTACAACTACTATTTGATGCTATAATATCCTAATTTTTAATTCTAATATTCCTCACAGTTTAAATTAAATTAAATTATTATTTTAGGTAATAATAAATCTGGAATATATGAAATTAAGCCCAGGCTTAGCAGTAAACCCTTTGCAGTTCTTTGCGACATGGAAATTCAAGGAGGGGGATGGACACATATCCAGAAAAGGTTCGATGGATCTCAAGATTTTTTCCAATTGTGGCGAGATTACAAGTTTGGCTTTGGAAATCTGGATGGAGAGTTCTGGATGGGATTAGAGAACATTTATCACATGACAGGTAAGAATATAGATATTATAAGGATATACAAACAATGGGCAGGCCGTGAATTTAAGATGGAAGAAAACAGGTTTCCAAAAAGGAGAATAGGCTTATGGTGAGACTAAAAGCGATGAGAGGATGATGGAACGGAAGAGCTAGAAATCTCCTAGGCAGTCGATCATGAGGGATAATGGCTACTGACTGTAGTAGCCCAGGGAAATAGGCTTTTTTTATGACACTCGTCCTGCCAGGCAACCAACAGTTGTTTTAAATAGTAAAATAGTATAGTAGTATAGTGTAAGTAGACCTTTGTAACAAAAATCTATAGTCCAGGCTGCGAGGCCGCTCCCGTTGGGAAAATGTTTCTGATTCGGTTTCTTCGCGGATTCCGGTTCAAAAATGTCCCCTTTAAAGATATCTCAAGGGTGCCGGGCGAAATTTTTGGGCAGAAATTGTTTAAACAATTTTTTTAAACAAAGTCCAAATTTTTTTTAGGTTTTTTGGGCTATTTTAAACAAAAAAGTCTTCTGTCATTTTTCTCTAAAGTTGATAGTTTTCGAGTTATAAGCGATTTAAAGTCTGAAAAACGCGAAAATACGCATTTTTGAGGCTTGAAAACACATATGTAAATTATTATTTTTGAGGTTACCAAGTGTCTAAATCAAAGTTTAAACGTTCAACTTCAAGATTGTGAAGAGTAATCGGGGCTTATTTTAATTTAGACCGTTGTTTTTTAATTGTTAAGTATGCGCGTACATTCGATTTTTCAGCCGCCGCGGCGCCGCGCGCTACCGTGCGCCTCTATCGTACTTATGCATAGTTTACATATACTTACAAATAATTATTATTTTTTGAGTATATATTTATTTATATCAATTGAGTTATAATATAAATTTCGTCTAAAGTCTAATAATAGTTACATAAAATAATTGTACACAAGATTGTTAAATAACACACTAATATCACTCAGTAAAACTATCTTTGTTTTCACAAATATCTAAATCACATCCACATAATGGTACACAGTTGACATGATTTTTCTTGCAGTTGCAAGCATTAGTTTTGCAAGTCTTTTTGCATTTGCACGGTTTCCCAACCCACCACTATCAGACATATAATATCCATATTGTGTAAAATCGAGAGTTTGATAGCGGGAATATATGGCATTTCGCCAAATATATGTTTTAGCGAAAGCTCTTAACAAGTGTTGGTAAAGTGCGTCAGAGGTACAAGGTATATTGGCTAGATTAAATTAAATTTTTCAGTCACACTGTCTTTTCGTCGAAGAGCAGCATTTTGTATTGTTATGTAAAAATCTACTTTAGGTTTTTGTACTAACTTAATATTGTTGATGTTATTACAAAAAATACAAACTAAATTTTCTTCGGTAAGTTTTCATTTAAGAAGAGGTACGGAAAAAGACATTTTAAATCCATTCACAATTTTTTTAATAACACATTAATCATATAATACCCTTTTAATGGGCATTAAACAATAGTCTTCCTAATGATCGTTTAAGTAATAACAAATCAAGTATGAGCGCGCGATTGTTAAACAGGTAAAAACTTGCATTTTTGCGATAGTATATTGTTTTTAAACACCGCTCAATTTAAAATTAAGTTTACTAATATTAATATTTACTGCATTGTATTATTCAAATAATAATTTAAAAATATTATTTACAATTGATATAAATAAATACATACTCAATAAATAATAATTAAAAAAAAAGAGGTTAGTCTTTGTAAGTGGGTAGATTTATTTAAAAACCCTTAAAATGGCTACATCAAAAAAACAAACGTTTTCGGACTAAACAGTCCATCATCAGGTTTAAAATCTGCTAGGTTAAAATGCCTGAGCCACCAAAAATACATGGGTAAAAACCCTTTAAATTACTTATAGTTATCAAAGATTATACATCTTGTTGTTAAAAAACTGTGATGTTTATTATTAAATTAAATATGACTTCAGGTAACATACATTGCAAAAAGTTTTGAGTTCCAGAGCCGGGGAGAGAACCTCTACGCACGGAGAACAGCTGGAAACAGTTTCCAGCTGTGTTCGTAGTTCTCTGGCTGAATCTCCTTGTATCCAATGAGTAAGCTACTGAAGGCCGTGGTTGCCAAATGTAATTGTTTTCCGAAATATTAGCAATTTTTAATACGTGCGGTCTTTTTGACCATGTAGCGACTAGTTAAGGGTTAAATTTATTAAAACATTCATAATCTGTCACAGTTTTTTAAGTTAAATGAAAAACTGGTGACTAATAATTGTCAAAACAAATATTTTTTTATTTTAGATCTGTCGAGCACACAGTCTTTTGTTTATTTCTATTTTAATATTTATATATTCTTGAATGGTTTACTGAAAAATACGTGCAGAATTATATTTTACTCTAAATTGAATTCTTTATTGTATTATTTTAGGATTTGAAGCAAATGAACTATTAATAGAACTTATTGATAAGGAAAAGAAAACTGCACATGCGCATTATACATCGTTTGCCATAGGCCCTGAAAAGGATGGGTACAAATTGACTGTACTTAGTGGATATTCAGGAGGTGCTGGTGATGGACTAACAGGACATTTAAATGTAAAATTTTCTACTTCAGATATGGATCTGGACGAAAACTCCGGCAGTTGTGCTAAAGGATATGGTAAATAATATTTACTTATGTATTATGTACTTTGTGATTTTATTAACTAGAGTCCAGTTTCCCTATATTAAGTATAATGAACTACTAACTTTATATTATCCGACGTTGGCGATCACTATTGCGAAGGCGTCTTGATCTTCTGCAATATGGAATAATTATTGTCCTGCATTTGGTATCTGAGTCCATTCACGAATGTTTTTTAGTCAAAAAACTTGTTTTCTTCCCACACCTCTACGGCCCTCTATTTTGCCTTTAAGGAACAGTTGTAATATTTTATATCGACTTGCCCTTATATGTCCCAGATAAAACATTTTTCGATGTTTAACAGTCTTTAGCAGTTTTCTATCTTTGTTGACGTTTTCTCCTTAGTACTTCTTCATTAGTTTTCCTTGCTGTCTAAGGTATCTTCAGCATTCTTTTATAAACCCACATTTCCTTCTTCTTCTTTAAGTTTGATCTTCTATCGAAAGGTTGGAAATCATTATGGCTATGCGGACTCTGTTGACTGCCGCTCTAAAAAGTTCTGCACTACTGCATTCAAACCATTCCCTTAAGTTCTTAAGCCAGGATATTCTTCGTCTTCCCACATTTCGCTTTCCTCGGATTTTGCTCTGCATAATAAGTTGTAATAGTGCGTATTTTTGCCTTCTCATCACATGTCCCAAGTACTCAAGTTTTCGTCTTTTATTAGTTAATATTATTTCCGCCTCATTTCCTATCCTTCTAGTTACTTCCATGTTTGACATTCTTTGAATCCATGATATTCGTAGGATTCTTCTGTTACAACAAAATTCAAAGGCGGCCAACTTATTCAGATGAACTTGTTTTAGTGTCTAATCTTCCAAACCATAAAGAAGAGTAGAGAACACGTAACATTGAAACATTCTCAGACGTAGTTCTAAGCTTATATCCCGACCACATTTCCAATGGTTCAATATTATTCATAATCGATACTTTTAGATGTCACACTTCTGCACATACAAAACTACAGACCAAACATAGCACTTAAATATTTTTTGCCTTAGTTCTAAAATGAGATGGTTATTGCAAAGAAATGGCTTCATTTTCATTAAAGTAGTTTTAGTCATTGCTTTTCTACGTTTTATTTCTATGTCTGGATCTAGTTGGTCCGTTATTACTGATCCCAAATATGTCATTTTGTGAACTTTCTAAACTTGGACTCCGTTTAATTGAAGCTTTGCATTGGGATGTGGGTCACGACTAAACACTAAAAATTTGGTTTTGTTTGAGTTTATTTTAATACCCATTTCCTCTTCTACCTCGTGAATACGATCAAGCAGAATTTGACGACCTTCAATAATATCTGATAGAATTACTGTATCTTCTGCATATATAATCACAATAAGAAGTTTACCACCATACCATAAGTACAAGACTTTAAAATGATCTTGTCAATATTTTTGTGGTGCATTTTTTGGACATCTTCTTTGGAGGATAGTTCATTTGATTACATGAAATCAACTTTTCCTTGAGAATACATACCTGTCAAAAAAATTCTAGTCTAAGATTTGTCTTTAAACAAGTAATTAACTTAAAGCAAAAACTATCAGAATGAGAAGAAAAACTAACAAAACAAAGCAGACAGTGACAAGATTGGCAGAGGTATGACTTATTTAAAAAACGGTCACGAAAGGAAACGAAAATAAAGTAAATGCAGCAGTAGCTTTACTGATTAATTGAAAAGTAATATTTAGAAACAAGAAAGTAGGATCCAATTAAATAGGAACAAAAAACATAAGTAACAAGTAATTAAGAAATTGAAGAAAACAAGAGCTCCAGACTTTAACAACATACCGGCCGAATTCCTTAAGTACAGTTTTTTCCTGTCTTACTGAGTAGATACGAGTTTATTTTGTGAAAGTAAGCAAATATGTACGAACAATAATAACTGCTAGTTTAATTTTTAATCATTCCACTCATATCTCGATATGTTCAGTGTTCAACAATTTTTCAATCGAACTCGTCGATAGAGTTAGTTTTTTTAATTGCCATATTGCAAGATTCTAGTACAAGCCTAAGAAGGTATCTATAAAATTCTGGCATGCAGTGGTAGGCGAAATCCTTTTAAGACAGCTAACGTTACGGAGAAAGGCGTTCTGACATGTTCTATTTATTAAAGTATAACACTAGTCCAGAAAACCGCAGGGTAGTGCGGGATTAACCGTGTTTCGGCTAAAACCTTAAGTACCGTTCGAAGTAGCGGAAGTAGTAGTCTTACAACTCAATACAAAACTAAAACTCATATTTTATTCATCATCTTTAAAAAAACTGTATTATATTAGGAAAAACTTACTAGCTGTACATATTACCATAAATGAAAAAAATAAGTATAAGAACCACCTACTACCAAGAAAAACAAAAGAAAGGAAATGTTACCGTAAGCCTATGACCTAATTGTGATACTTATCGATTTCTGGCTTTCGCGAAAAAAAACAAGATTTTAGAAACCCCAAAATAGAGTCGCTGAAACAACTTGTTAAATTCATGAAAAAGCAAGACAAGAAGGATAGCAGGCGGAATTAAGGTACCTACAATACACTGCCTATAAATGTAGAAAGATATTCGGTCGACCAACTTCAAAGCTATTATATAAACAAACAGGCAAAATAAATGTGCACAATGGGAAAAATAATATTGGAGAACTCAGTAAATTACATAAAAACAAAGATAAAGCTAGAACAGTTAGTCGAACATCCTCGATGGGAAGCACAAACACATAAAATCAACAGAACAAGTTGAAACAACAAAGATATGAATACAGCAACTGGTTAAAAAAAGGAACGAAAATTGGATATGAATAAAAAGAAGGTAGTAAAGATTGCACGAAAAAACAGAAAACAAAAAAATCTAAATAAATTAAAAAAGGATACGAGTGGGAATATGGAATATTAAGACTCTTTTAACCCTTTCCAGCCCAAATTATTTTTGTTTCAATAAATTTTGTTGAAAAAATGTATGTTATAGACAATTATACAAAAAAAAATAACTGAAAAACTACCTACCGAGAGCTTATCTCTTCCAAATCGAAACTGCTTCTCCAAACTGCTACTACACTTTAATATTTTTCGATGACAAAAAAAAATAACGAATAACCATAACGAAATTTAACAAAAACCGGACCCAAAACAATGAAACTGACTGATTTTGGCAGCGGTGCCACCAGGAGTGATATAATCCTCTCAAAATCGGTCTCTTGTCAGAACCTAATTTCTCACCAACTAAAGTGGAAATTTTTATATTTATTTGACGCGCAATATTAGGCGAAATCTATATCAAAACAAGTACCAATCTGTGGTTTATAAACAAGACTAAAAGTCTTTATATTATCAATCTCAGCGACGCAAAAGTATTGAGAATGTTTTTGGTCTTTTAAAATATACGAGGTTAATCGAAATGCTACAATTTAATTGTTTTAAGGTATAGAAAAGAAACACATGATCAGCTTTTAAAAAAACAAAACTACGTTTTTTGAGTCATGATAATTTAATTGGTTAGTTTTAAATAAAAATTGTTATTTTGTTTTTCTTTTAGAGGGTGGATGGTGGTATAAAAATTGCTTCACAAGTTGTTTGAATGGAAAGTATTCAAATGTTATTGTCCCTGATGCGATTAAATTACATGGAATTAACTGGAATGGATTTCGATCAAAGGAATACAATTTATCCGGATCAAGGATGATGATCCGACCAATAGGAAGTTAAGCTAAATATTACCAAAAAACTTTACCAGATTTGAAATAAATTTAAATAAAAGTTATACTAGCAACAAATGGCATAATGTATGTATATTAAAATATATCTAAATTAGTTAGCATTTGTTTTGTATTTTAAAAAATACCACATCATATATCCCATATTACATCCTGTATCTTGTGTAAAGCCTCTCTTGTTGCCTTTTATAAGGTACCTTATAGGGACTGTAGATACCTTCTCTGTACTTGCTCAATTGAACGAATATGACAGGCATAATACCTGCTCCAGACAGAAGAACAATATTCTAATAGAGGACGAACAAGACTTTAGTATAGCAGTCTGATATAAAAGTAAAGTTTGATGTATAAGTAAAGTCTGATCTACAAAGATAAAGTACTTCTCTTAATAAATCCAAGCATACCTACAGCTCTCGAAACTATCATGACTGTGTAATTGACAAATGAGAATGTGGAATCCACAATAATACCAAGATCTCGAATAGATAAAACTTGGTGCAACTGTCAATACTTCATTCTGAATTTAAAATTAATGCTGTTTAAATCCCCTTCTACGAATCGCAAGGCAAAACAGACGTTGATAAGGATGTAATTAGAGACATTCTAAAATTGCACTCCACAACATATCGTCTCAACTAAGCAAAAATCCCGATCCCGGTAATCCCGATTATCAAAGCAAATAAAGAAAAATAACACCCAGATTCATATCATTCTATCTCAATAACATGTTGTTAATGTAAAATTATTGAAAAAAACAAAAGATTAATGTGAACCTTGGAATACAATAATCAACTTATCATCGAGCAAGCTCGATTTAAACCAGGCAGATCTACAAACAAAAACATTATCGATCTGGAAAACGCTATTCACGAAGCTTTAAAAATAACCAAAAATGTATGGCAATTTACTTTCGACATAAATAAAGCATTTAACAGAGTATGGAAACACTGAACATTCTAAAAAGCTGGTATATGAAGGAAATATTATGGCCTACATAATCAATTTTTTAACTCAAAGAACATTTCAAGTCCAAGCAAACGGTGCTATATCTTATATTAGAGAACAACAAAATGGAATCCCACATGGATCGATTATCTGTCCATTTTAAATAGCAATAAACGATATAATAAAAATCATTGCGAAACCTATTCAGGCAAGGCTATATGCTGATGACCAAGGCAAGAACGTTAATATTGTACCGTTTTTAAATAAAACGAGCGGTTCGAATTTATGTAAATATATTTATTTATAACTTTACAGTTCGGTATTCTCTTATCAACTAAACTTAACTCCTAATTCCGTTACATATATATACCAAAGTATTATGTTCGAGAATATTCGGGACTAGTCCCACCTCTAATTCGTTATTCGACGGGTGGAATTTTACAGCGCTTTGATATATCGCGGAAACTTCTGGGTGCTTCGAGATGCGACCGTTAGGCGAGCCGCGTTCGTAACACTGCTCCCCTCTTAGATCTGAGCGTCCCGATCAGGAACTCTATCTATAGGCCCAGGATGGCGGAATCTACAGGACTCTCCAGCTCCGCATGAACCCCTCAGAAAGAAATAACAGTCTACTGTCTTTGAAGGACACGATCTCTTCGGATTAATGCAACACACAGTAATTCTTACACCGGTTTCTCGGAAGATCACTTCAATCATGCTTCTGACAATCTTCCAATCCAGATTATCTAGTGCATGGCCTATCTTGGGTAATGCCAAATTCTTAATGTCGTAATTGCAGACGATTTTCTTCAGATTAGTTAGAGCACACCATATATCCTCGTAGGTTGCCCTGTCTGTATACGACTTCCTGGTCACCATATACAGCAAAGATCGAGAACCATCTTCTAATCTCAGTACTCTTCCAACTTTAGGCTGCTGGTTTTTTAACTCGTTCAAGCGACCGAATTTCTTATAAAATACAGATGAGATTCCTTTAGTCATCTCAAGATCTTGGGCAACACAGTGGGCTAGAGAGACGTTATGCGGAACACTAAAAAGATCCTGCTGAACTTCTGTCGTCACGCCGAATCTAGCACTCTTTCTCTCTGCGTAATTTGACATAAACGCGTTAAAGCTTGGTCGCCGGTTATCTTTGATCTCATGTTGAAGGATTCGTACTTCTTCTGTTTCATTTGAGCCAGCATAAGGTGCAAGACGATTTATGTGAACTACTTTTGGTTTACCTTTCGGCAACTTCCTAATTCGGTATATTACGTCGTTTATTCTCTTTTTAATTTCATACGGACCCTCCATTGTCTTTGCAGTTTAGGAGACAAGCCACGACGACGTTGGGGATTATAAAGCCAAACAAGATCACCTACTTCATTGCTTTCATTCTTGCATCGAGAATCGTATTGATCTTTCATTCTGTCACTGGCTAACTGGATGTGTTGTCGGGCAAGTTCATGAATGCTGTTCATTCTTAACTTCAGACGATCGACATAATCTTCGCTTGCAACATGTTCTTCGGAAGGTCTGCAGCCAAACTCTAGGTCGCAGGGCAAACGAACTTCACGACCTAACATCAGGCAGGTTGGAGTCTGGCCCGTAGTTTCATTCACGGCCGAGCGGTAGGCCATTAGGAATAAATGAATGTGCTGGTCCCAATCTCTTTGATGTTCTGATACAACTTTTGACAGGTGTTTACCCATCGTTCGGTTCATTCTCTCGACCATTCCATCTGATTGAGGATGCAGGGGTGTCGTTCTGGTCTTATTGACACCAATCAATTTACAAACGTTTTGGAAAAGGTTTGACTCGAAGTTTCGCCCTTGGTCGGAGTGGATCTCCAAGGGAACACCAAATCGGCTAAAGAATTCTTTAACAAGTACCTCTGCAACGGTAGCAGCTTCTTGATTTGGTAACGCATAGGCCTCAGTCCATTTCGTAAAATAATCCATGGCTACCAGGATATATTTATTTCCATCATTCGTCTCTGGAAGTGGACCTGCAATGTCGATTGCTACTCTCTCCATAGGACTACCAACATTGTACTGTTTCATGGGTGCCCTCTTTTTACCAACTAGACCATTACTAGTTGCACACAGTTCACATTTCCGGCACCATCTTCTTACATCATCTTTACAGTTCACCCAATAGAACCGTTCTCGAACCTTTTGCAGAGTCTTCGTAATACCAAAGTGTCCACCTGATGCACCGTCATGCAACTGACGCAATACTTCGGACACTTTACTTTTAGGTACAATCAACTGAAGCTTAGTTTCTGTACCATCATCGTTCTCAAAGGTTCTATACAGAAGATCATCTTTCAGCACTAGGCAATTCCATTGGCTCCAGTAACACTTGACTTCGGGACTACATGCACTAATGTCTTGCCAAGAAGGTCTTTCACTTCGACGCACCCAATCCAATACTCTTTTTATACATGGATCATCTGCTTGGGCGTCTTGTAGCTGTTGAGGCTGCCATTGGTCATTAATAACGGTGGTTCGCCTAACGGGGCAAAATCGTTCTTCTAATTCAAGACAATGATTACGATTTGCACTGTATGGCCGTCTTGATTGAACATTAGCATTTGAATGACTTTTTCCAGTCCAGTGCTCGATCTGTTCTAGCTTTCTGACTGTTGTATTATTTTCTTGCACTTTGTGGCGAATGTGACCTTCGTTGTTACCATTCCAATATCTGGGTTCACGTTTCTTCGGCATCATGTTACGAACTATTTTTCGTACCATTTCTTCTAGACGTTCATTGTTTGGTTCGTCGCCTTCTTCAATGGCTCTTACTCGATGGCTCCGTGAAGTTTGACTAGCTGTTTCATGTTCTAAGGCAATAGCGAGCGCTTCATCTAGAACTTTCGGTCTTGCTAGTCGTAAAGCTTTCTGTAATTCACTTTCTTTTAACCCATTGACGAAGGTATCTACAGCAATCTCTTCTAAAATGTTGTCTGGTACCTCCGGATAAGCCAACCGCACTATACGAGCAACATCTGCTTCAAACTCTTGCAAATTTTCACTTGCTCGTTGAATTCTACTTCTTAGTTGCGCCTTGTAGACTTGTTGTAGATGGGCATCTCCGTAACGTTTGTCTAGTCGAGTGAACAAGGTCTGGTAACATTTTTCTTGACCCTTAGGAATTGATCTTAGGATATCTGCAGCATCACCTCGTAAAGCAGCAGTCAAGGAAACAGCTTTTTCTTGTTCTGTCCAATGATTGGCTGTCGCAATAGCTTCAAATTGTCTAAGGTATATGGACCAAGAGGACTTTCCATCAAATGGTGGCAATTTGAATCTCATATGATGTGTCATTTCGTCTCTAGGTGATTCTTCGTTCACTACCGGTTCTAAGGCACTGTGTTAACTGGTGGTAGCATTTTTGTGTTAGTTATCATGCTCTCTAACTGTTTGATCTTCTCTTCTACTTTTTCGAATGTTTTGGAAACTTCTTCAAATTTCTCATTATTCTTTTTCGAAGTTTCGTCCATCATTTGAGAAACATTTTCAAATTTCTCGTCGAATCTTTTTGACACATTTTCGAGTTTTTCGTCGTTTTGTCTAGCTACTTCTTTAATAATTTGAGACGTTTCATCGAATCTTTTGGAAACAGTCTCGAATTTATCATCATTTTTCTTAGAAGTTTCTTCTATCTTCATTAAAACTGCTTCTTCTGCTGATTGAAAATGGAATGTCTCTGGGTCATCTCCATTCTTTTTAAGAACATTCTTTAGTCGTTCTTGGAGTATCTTTTTGGACCCGCTGCAGTCTTCATCGCGTTCTTCTAGTTGCTCACGCAACTGTTTCACTGAAAGTTCTACTAGCAGCATCTTTGTACAGGCACACACGTACTTTTATTAATGTTCTTTCGTACAAAGGTCACTACCGAACTACGCGGATGTTCCCGACGAACAATACTTTTCAAAAGTTTTAAAGTCTTTTTCAAAAGTCACTGCTGGATTTATGTTGAAACTCCACACCGGACACCAACTGTACCGTTTTTAAATAAAACGAGCGGTTCGAATTTATGTAA